AATTCAATTCTCTCGAGTGAATCTCCTCGAGAAGAATGCAAATATTTCGGTCGCGATTTGTCTAGCGGCTTCGAACGTGCGCGCAATCCGCTTCGAGGAAATCCGCGAGCGCGCGAACCCGACGTTTGCGTTCGAGCGGAGGCAAAGAGGCTTTCGAGGCTTTCACCTTTCGAAAGCTGGCTTAATATCGCCAGATTGGTCCAGGATGAATATCGACACGTTTCGTTGTACCGTACAGCTTTATCTAGATGTAGAAATGATTTTCAACCGGATCGAGGATGTATTTTCTTTCTTCTAGTTGAAAACGTGTAATTCGCTCGGGTTGACTTTCAGCTGGATGGAACGATTAGCAACGATGAGCAAAGTGGAATGATTTATTCCATGTCTGAAGGGAAATGGCTGCTCGAGTTTGTCGAAAGGTAAACCCTGCCACACCGAGCGGAAATTCGAGGCTTTTACCAGCTGAATTTCGTACGATCGTTACTGTTTGACATCTCTAGATGTGATTTTTGCCACAGAATCATACTTCACTTTGGTAAATAACGAGATCTTTATTAGATAAGGATTACGAGAATCTAATATTAGATTCTTAGAATCCATATTTACCTCTCATATTGAATCTCCACTTTTAAATAGAAAAGAATTACACGTAGCTATAGCAAAGGGTTGAAATTATCAAGTTTCTCAGAGTTGTAGAGAATTCGAAGAATTTTCAGCATCGAGCAAGTATCGAAACAATCCGAAGCCCTAAAGCGATAGAATTGTTTGAATATTTGTAAGAGGGGAATCGATCGAATGGTCGTCGCTACGCGTAACACCGGAAACCTTATAGAGCATCTCGTTCATCCGATTTCCTAATCGCATTGCAACAAAACGAGAGACCGATTAAAGGGGTTCGGTTGCGTCTGCTCGAAAAAACAACGATCAATCAGGCAGATCGTATTTTCACGCGAGACAGCGGATCGTTTTTACGGAATTGCGTGGACGATCGATTGGTCGGATGAGCGGGTAGGAAAGAAAGCGGAAGGAAAGAGGACATTGCGCGAACGAGTAGACGAGAGCGGATCAAAATTACGATTCATCTGTCGATCGCGACACGTGGAAGGGTTGCCCGAAAGAGAAACCGTGAAATTAAACGATCGTATAATTTTTACTCTCTTTACCCTTCGACAACATTCGGTGTATCGTGAAACTAATTTGTTTAATTAACTTTACAACTTGCCGGGCTTGTCATTTCAACAGAGAAGAGATAAGAAAAAGTTTCAGCGAAAGCGGACAAAGATATTCGCGTTTGAATCGTGCTGTTTCAAGGAGTTTACAAACTCGAACACGACGATCGTTCATTATTTTTTAAGGATACCTTTGTGTCGTGTATACGAACGGTTTTCGTTCAAGATCCTCGACGTTCCGTCGCGTCGTTGCGCATCAACGTTGTCGGAACGCGATACGTGAACCTTTCCTTTCTTCTTCGCATCGGGAAGAAGGCTGAGCTTGCGTCAGTAATATCTGGAAAAGCCCGAGGGTTGCAGAAGCGTATGCAAATGACGCGCGAGTACATAAAAGCAGGATCTGAATGGTTTTGCGTTACCTCTGTTACTCGCGTTTCGATAAACCTCCTCCCGCGTGCTTGCATTACGCGTGAAAATGTGTTTTCATATTCCCGGATATGCTTTTCTCTGATTTAACCGGATCTATGAGCCCTCGTCACATCGTGCATCACGTTGATACGCGAGGGAAAAATACGTTGGTTCTCTTAGGACGAAAAGAGAGGAAAATATGGTCCCGTTGGAAATTTATTCTTCGAGATAATTCATCCTGTTCCGATATCGTCTATCGTTATTCATGGGATATGGAAATACACCAGGTGAAAATTAAGCTATCCTCCTGTTATTAATTGCAAATGAGGATGAATACAAATTTCGCAAACTATTCGAACACTGGATTTCTATTAAGCTGTTACACAAATTCTGGATCTAGTAATGTTACTATATGCATACAAGGTGTTTCGTAAGTGATGCAAGTGGAAAATTATTGCATGAAATATCAGAGAAGCTTGTCATTCGTAAAACATCGAAATTATTTAAAGTCAAAGTTACGAGATTCTAATATTTCATTCGATGACCTACGAGCGAGTAGTTCTCGAGGATGAGTCTCGAATTAATTACGTTCCTCCAACATGTTACAGTGCCACGTGTTTACATCGTTTCTCTTATTAATTTCCGCGAAGCGTATAATTCAGCACCGGATTCGTTCTTCTTCCCTCTCGCGTGTATTTTCACGAGATTTCAGCGTCTCTTTTCTTTGCTCACAACAGCCTTTCCTCGCGGCGGTAAAATAGTTGGGAAAAAAGAACATATTTTCCGACTATTCCCTTATTTTCCGCACTCGTTTCTTCCCTACCGTTCTCTCGTGTTCTATACAATTTCGCCATAACATTAATTACCGCGATTCCATTAGCGGTTCACGGTGTCTGGATAATATACTCCGCGTAATTAAAAGATCGACAAATAATCTTGATCAAATAACTGAGATTAATATCGCGATACGAGCAAAATCGTGTACGAATGTTCCTCTAATGTTTTTTTCTTCTATTTGAGCTTTTACATTAAAACGATAATTAGTTATGTTGGTACTCATTTAAATCTCGAGAAGACTGAATACTACCAGCCATCATAAGCAATCAGTTTCCTTTATTACCGTTTCACTCGTTTCGTTTCGAATTTTCAGCGGTCGAGAATGCGCGATTCACCGGTGCAATTAAAATTTAATGCCCGCATATAATTCGGAGCCTGAATCCATTAACACGGTGAATTTTACGCGGCCAGACCGATTACACGTGGATCCTCTTTCAGCGATTAAAAATAATTCTCATTTCATTAGAACACCGTTCCACGGAGTGGACCGTGCTATTCATTGGCCAGTTACTAGCGTACTTGAAATTTACGAGCTCTTTTCATCATGTGCACCATTTTCCTGTACGTGTATGTGCAAAAACCTTTCGAATAAAAAAAAAAAAAACCAAAAAATAGAGACTCGAAGCTACAGCTCGTGAAAATCAGCAAAATGTTTCGGCCACTTTTCACGTGGTCATCATGCGCCATAGTCGAAATGCATTTTTCGACGTACTCGTGAAAAAATATATTTTTTTGCCTCGTTTTGCGTTCGATTATGCTCGCGTCAATGGATGGCCGTGTTTTAAGCTATATACTATCTTCTCTCTTTAGAAATTAGCGAACAGGGCTGAAGAGGTTTCCATATAAAATGGTCCGTGCAAGTGGAACTAGTCATTTTTTTTTTTTATTGCAATTAGAAAAGTGAATTCGACTTATATTCATATGAAAAACCACCTTTTGAATAAATATTTTGCAATATGGTAAAAGCTGAATTGTTTTAAACTCAATTAAAAACATTATATTTTGGTCCAATGACTTTCTTCAATTAAATGGTTGAATATGAGCATGTGGGGCGGAAGAGAGAAACACGAGTTTCACATATTGTTAGCTCTGGTGAGTCGGTTACGAAGCGATTACACGCATTAACGTTAATGCACATTCAGCTTTAATAAATATCAAAGCTCGTATATACGTATGTTTTAGCAATAAACGTTGGAATTAACACATCTTAAAGTTGCGAGTCGCTTAAAAAATACATAAGATCCATAATAAACAAACACTTTAGTTTACACAGAATTTCTTTTTAACAAAATACATTAACGAGATATTCGTTGCTAAAGTGCTCTTAATGGAACGCCTTCGTTGCGTTGAATGTGAAAATGCAAAGTATGCAACAGGGATGCAGTGGCGGATGTACGAATTAAAAAAAAATTAGGTAATTTGTATTGTAAAATAAAATTATTTTTCATAGTATCTTAATTTTATCAGATTTTCATAATTTCGGTAAATAATTTTCCAAAAAAGATTGCAAAATATATTTTCACATATTTCGTTGGCTTCCGGATCCACCGCTGCATAGTCGCGAAAGTTATTTCTCAGATACGAGCAGAGAAATCCCATTCCCGTTAAGATTAAATTTCTAACGTGTGAACTCTGCCTCTTACCTTATAATTTATCCGTGGCGTGTTTGCATTACTTGCGAATCTGCCAGCGTGTGCGGTTGAGAGGTTAGGGAACGGTCGACGGAACACGCTGATCCTAGAAAACCTGTCGCACGTTCGCCAGAAGCTTACGTATTCACGGATAGGTGAACTGCAACATCAGCTTATTCGACGATCTCGCCAGCTTCGACGTCTCTTTTCACCGCTATCGTTATTAACTTTCCACCCGAGCACGGTGTAATGTGACTCGATTCAAATATTGCCGCGAGACCAATGAAACAATGACTAGTTCCCGCCATGTCAAACGAGCTCTTAACATTGAAATACGATTTCATTGGCGAATATATATTTACTATTATTTATCATACTGAATTATTGCATCGCGAAAAGGATAATGTTTTTCGCATTAGTCTTAATATGATTCTTTCATAACGTCATTTGATTGACGTAGTAAGGTTAGCAGTGGACAGTCACGTTCCCGCGTTCTCCGGTGCAACGGATATCGTGTTTCATTTCTGTCCGCGTGCCAATCCTGCCAGTCACTATATTCCGTGTGAAAACAGGCTCGTGCACTTTAGACACACTCGCGTAGCGAGTTAACAGGCGTCGTTATTAATTTTCCATGCGAGCATGTTACAATTTTGGAGCGTGGACTTAAGCACGGACCGGAAGAGACGATCGTGTAGCATCGGTCCTTGTCGCGATCGCGCCACCGAACTGAAACTATCCTCGTTGCGCGCGCAACGCGTGCTGTTGACCCATCGTCATGGCAACCGTGCGACGAGTCTACACTCATCCAAGGTGGATGGACTGAACAGAAGTCAGTGCACGCGCGGATGTCAAGCCGTATTGTTCTCAGTCTCGTGCTAACCCCTTCGTGACGTTTCACCTTTCTCGCGGCTTTCGTACATCAGTTTATATAGTGCTTGTGTTCTCTGTCAACTAGCAGATCAACCGGTTGGCCGCTGGATTCGCGGGGTCAGATTTCGTCGCAGCTTGAGAGATCATGGAGTGACTGGTCAACGGCTGAATAATGAGGCAAGTGGCATTTTATAATTTTCTCCATTTACCGGCGTTTATGAGGTAGCCATCTCGAACAAGGTTAGGTTAGGTTGTCCCTGGTTAAACGGTGCTCGTGCGTTAACCAAGCGACGAGCATAGATTGTTGACTAATGTTTAGTTCCCAAACTGCAAATTTCACACGATAAAACTATTGAATTATTGGAAATATTATTATTTAGAAATGCAATCAAAAAAATCGGGCATCGTATGAGATATCGATACAAGGGAAAATAAGGTGTAGAAAAGAAAATGAGTGCGTTCTTGAGTAGCGGTCAAGTAGTATAAACCGCGCGAAAAAAAGAGAAATGGCGGACCTCGAACGATATGAATCAAGTATTCTCGTGAAATATCGTTACGGAAGGAATATAACCATGTATATTTTAACGCTCGTAAGATAAAACTGTCTCTTCCAGACGACATCGTGTCGAGGCAGGATGCTAATGGAAACGAATGTTTCTCAAGTGCTTCGGCTCTGTCAACCATCCGTCGAGTGATTCGTTCTGCTTTTAGTTTTGAAGATCGGGTTAGAAGAGAGTGGCGTTTATCAGGTTACGATGAAAGCATCGTTATCCTAAATGCACTTTCGCGATTTTTTTTTTTTTTTTTTTTACAACCTACGTCGTTTCGATTTTGGTTAGATGGAAAAGCCTTTCATCGAGCCATCGACCCCTTTTAAATCTCGTTGTACGTGTAGATGTTGCTCACGCTTTTTATGGGTTATAGACTTCTACATACATAGCACTGTAAGAGCTCAAAGTGTTAAGAATCTTTGTTATCGCAGAATGCTTATTTTCCCTTGAATAACAGAAATTGTTAAAGAAAGCTCTTTGTTGGAGGATTTCAAAAGGAATAATATTTTAACGACCTCCTATCTACCCCTTTGCTAGCATTCTTAAATTCACCCCTTAGTATTTATATTATATGTGTATATTGGTATGTTGGTCTGTTCTAAACTACATAGTTTCAGTTATAAACAAACTATGTTTAAAGGCACGTAGGCTTCCGTTTAAAACATTCCCTCGAATTTCCATGTGCCAGAAGCCTAACTTCCGGTCTGTTGGAGTCACTCGCTTCAAGGTTACCCCCGTGAAGACGCTCTTCAGTCCAAATATTTCCTCTTCGAATAAACGTTCCCTCGCTCACTCCCTTTCGTTGGTTCCGGCTTTTGTTTTCGTTTCACCCCTTCAAAGGAATCCGTGGCTCAAAGCGAGTGACCGGCTTAGGAAAGCGTATTCTACGCACGATTCCGTTTCTGCAATTTGCATCTGTTAGAAGCAGCCTCGCTCCTCCATTCTCGACGTCCACAGAGAAATAAGGCCGTACGGTTTTTCCTTTCGTTTAAACAAATTCTCAACGCGATCGAAACGGATGGCCGTTTCAAGGAACTTTAATGCGAACTGAGAGTTTACGAGAGGGAAAAGTTTCGTTTGTAAGTTTGAGACGGTTACCGGCAACAGAGAGATGGAGGAGCGAGTCGATAGAATTGTTGCGTCGGGATTTCGATTCGAATTTATTGTTCGCCAGACCGTTCTCTGTTTCCCGTGATGGTAGTATTTTTGTGTGATGTTTAACCTCCTGTTTTTCAGTATCCAAGGTGGTTTAAACGCGATAAACACGGCTGGTATTTCGGGCGCGACGAAACTTTTATTCCCATAGTTGAAATCATAAAAGTTTCATTATTTCATGTAATTGGTTACAGAACAATTAGACAAAGAGTTAAAATTATATCATTCAGTCAGAACGTTTCATTTTTGTTTATACTGAAAACAATTCCAACAAATTTACAAGCAGCATCCTTGTTTGCTTTACCGTGGAAATTTTGCCTGAACTCGGCTGCTCGATTCACTTACAGGAACTCAAATATCTTCCAGGATATACCTAATTAAAATGAAATTGTAGTACAGCCAGAATTGGCCTCTGCCAAATAATTAAGTTTCCTTGAGAGTTTTTGAGGCTTCCCTGGCTCGGTTTGTTACACTTAATACCGTTTCGAGATTTTCGGATGTAAGCCTTGTTCCGAAGGAAAGCATTTCCAACGTTTTCCCGGCGTTGTAGCCGGCTTCATCAGGCTTCTGAGGACGCACTGATATTGGAGCTGGCTGCGATAGTGGCGAAATGTTTAGGATATTTTTCTTTTGGCCTGGGTTCACGCGAGAAATTCTTACAGTCTACTCTTTCCTTAGAAATTTTACGTAGAATTTAGCTATTCCTGGCTACGCGTTACTTCGCAGCTGGGGGATATTCTTAAAGCAGCTGCAATCAGTGAAGGAAATAGAGAAAAATAAAATTTCAGCTTCCAAGCTTCAATTTCTAGGCTGAAATTAGAGAAATGAAAAGGTACGCGTTTTCCATCGACTTCCAATCGCGAAAGCTGTTTTGTCTTCGGGGTCAAAGAGAGCCTCGTCTTGTTATCGCGACAGACTGCCTGCTTCTCTTTTCCTAGTCTCTGTGATTTTTCTTTTTATTTCGTTTGCCGCCTCTGAAGTCACCTTTTTATTTCTACTTTCGTTGTCAACACGGAGACGAGGTGAAAAGAAAATCATTCGCATGTGCGTAGCGCAGAAACGCGATTTGTCCTCTGAAAACTGCCCGTCTCGTTGTCCCCCCAGCTGCATTCTGTCTCGTGTCATCTCGACGACGACAACGATTTCGATGGCTCGCCGATCGACTGCATTTATTTAGACTCACGCGATGCCCGGCTCTATTATTGGACAGCATTTCGTTCGAGCCACGGCTCGATCGACAGAATAATGAACGGCAGGGATTAAGATCAGCCTCGTGGATAGGCGTCCCATTATTGAACAGGGGATAATGAGATCGTTCGAATATTATTTAGTTAATTGATCGTGGATTTAAATCGTTTTATCGGTAGACGATGATCGCGCGGTTTTGTATCGGGGAACGATTTAAGGGTGGAAAAGATTCGAATTCTTGAATTTCATCAAATTTATTTGTCGAAGAGGAAACGCTGGAAGAACAGGGTCCTTCGATTTTCGATTTCCTCCAAAAATTAACATTCTAAGATATGATCAACGGGGGACGGTAATATTTACACGAAGATTTGGATCGTTTCCAATCCGAGTAAACTGACTCGGTTTCCCCCCCCCCCCCCCCGATGCCAGATAGGAAACCGTAAAATTAATTTTTTACGTTCTCCCTCGTGAATCGTAAGATAGAAAAAATTCGATGCATTCGCCGTCTCTGTTATTAATGTCTGGTTTGAATAAATTGTTTTTACAATTTAGAGGCACGAGATGTCTCAAAAATACTTTATCGTTTAAACATGAAAGAGAAACGGAGTTATAGTGGATTAAAGAAGAGCAGGATGTTTGATTATCACGCGCGAGTAACGACGAGCGCATAGGAGTACGTTTGGTAGGCGAAATAACAGCAAATATTTTCGAACGGTTCGTGACCGGACGATTTTTCAAATATATTTGACCAAACTATCCGCCACGCGAGTTTTCCGTCGTACTATTTGCAGCGGTAGACAGTAGAGAAAAGCTTTAAGCTCGATCTGGCATCGGACCAATTTCGCGTCGATCGACGGTAGCGCGCGTTTCACGTTCGCCTCGCGACGTACGGGTTGGGCAGGTGGTAACTGAAAAAAAGAGGGGAAAAAAAAGGAAACGGAGGTCGTGAATAATCCCATTGGCGTGTAATCAGTACACGGAAATGTCCCAGGGCGCTTTAATAAACCGATACCAGTATTTTTACCAAAGAGCCTTTGATTTACCTTCCGATCTCGCTCGTTTAGCTCATCGACAACGATATCTCCGCGACGGAAAAAATGAAAAATGAAACCTGCTAACCCTCCTACCGTGCTCGATACAAAAGTTGAATTAATATTCGATCGACTACTGGCGGCTCTCTTTTGTGTGTTTCTGCTTTGTTACGCGTCGGATCGCGCTAGCAACAATTTGATTTTTCATATAAATGCAAATTATTTTTGTTTGACGCTGTTGCCGCGGTGTCTTTCGGCATTAAAATCCATTAAGTCGATCGGACAGTTTTTATTTTCGAAGGGAAACGAGTGAATTTTACCGAATTATTTTAACTACAATTTTATGTTCGTTATATTCTGGGAATTCTCTGCTTGACGGTAGTTCTCTGTTCTTTATTCAAGCAAAAAATTGTGTGCGATGGGTTAATGCAATTTATGCACCGAAGGAGTGCAGTGTTGATCAACACAAGGGGTTATTTACATGGGTCCTCTACATTTTTGTTACCCGATTTAAACATTATACAAGGTTGTACCGGGTCGAATATGTGCTCGGCCAAACGAAAATGCAAATTTATTCGTTGATATGATAACGTGCGTACAGATTTCCAATGCGTCAAAGCAATTATTTTACTTTTCCGGAGGACTTTTCAATTTTCCCTACGATCTGTAATTCTTATACTGATTTCGTCATAAAACAACGTTTTAAAAAATATTTTTTTTCAATCCACGTTGATGTTAAAAATTTTCTAATAAAATGAAAAGAAAGAAAACTTGCGGTCTTTCTTTTCTTGCAATTAGTCGTCAGTACCGGAAGGGATTCCACGAGAATCCCCTTAAGGTGGGAAGATCTCGCGACGCGTAACCTCGAAGGACCGGCCTAATTCGCGGAACATAATTAAACAGCCTTAAAGCTTTTCATTTCGTGCGTTAATTCCTCCTTTTATCGGCGGCTCGTTTCGTGCGCCTTTTTAAAATATCCAACGAACTTTGGACGTTAGCGGGAACGTTGAATAACGCGTCGACGAGCGAGAAAATTTCCGCGTTGGAATCTTGATTACCGGGTTAACGTTCAAAACGTAGGTTCACCCTTAGTTTCAACACTTGCCGGCTCGTTACACTAATTAAAAAGGGACAAAAGAATTTTCTGTCAGTAGAGCGGTTCGCGTTCAGAGCAAAAGTTAATCCCTAAGTTGTACCCTCGCTGGCTAGTTAGATTAATTAATAAAGAAGTATAGATTTTTTCCATCGGTGG